CTCTGGAGTTGTACAGCTAGGGTATATAAGCTGACAATTTTATCTTTCTTTCTATATTGATACTGGATTCTTGTTGGAGTTTATACAGAATAAGTTTATTTGAGAGTTGTTTTACAATATTGTGAGCTGTGTTTACATTTTATATGTCAAAGAAGGATTCCTAGTCATTTCTATACCGCTCGGAAATACGTCAAGTAGGAATTCATGACATTGCATATCAATTGTGTGGTTGCTCCTGGATATAATCAGCTACAACCTTATCATGAGTTGGAATCTGAAAAATAACAATACAAAACAAATAAATAAAAGCATCACTAAATACCTTTTTGGACAAATCTGGCTAGGTCTGTATTAATAAGCCAGTGAAAAACTTATATAATGTATTTAATTATTATAATAATAATTATAATAATAATATAATAATAATAATATAATATTATAATAATTATTATTATAATAATTATTATTATTATGATTGTATATTATAATAATCAAATCATTGCAATATGTATAAGCTTATATAATTTCATTTAATAATTGAAAAGAACAATCCTACATAAGTATCAGTAATTAGCATTTTACATACTTAATTACCTTTTTGAAATTGCCCTCAGCCAATAGGTCTTCAACATGTGGCTGGACATTATCTTCAGCTACATGATCATCATGATTGCTGAAATCATCATCTGGAAAAAATTAATGATTTTTTTTAAAGCTTTAAAAACTATCATATACCAGTAGGAATTACAGTACTACTACTCCTGGTACTGTAGGCAAGCCTATAAGATAGGCCAGGAGTTAAATTACAATTAATTTGTCAGTCGGCCCCTGTCACGTGACATGTTGTTTGTTATTTTGTTTTGCTTAAAGCCCCATTCCCGGCAAAATTTCACTAAAAATGACTTTTCTTTAGAAAATATGCATTTGCATTACTCCAATTATTATAAATAATGGAAAAATATTGGCATGAATTTTAGTTTTACGCAAAAGAATAAAAAAA